TTAGTTTATAGAACAAAATAATCGGAAATGAATTAGCATTACAAACCAACGTTGATTCACGAGAATGTTAGAAACAAACTCAAAACGTCGACTAATTTGTATCCCATACAGTAGTATCCATTCAATCTTACAAAGAAAGCGATTAAAGAATCTCTTTATACAGAAACTTGTCTAATACACTGTTGAAATCTAATATTTTCTAGTCAAAAACACCAAGTAGGGAAGTATTTTTTTGATTTAATCATCAATCATCATTGTTAGAAGAACATTAGAAACCTGGAAAAACTGAACGGCCGTTTCGTCCTGGTATGGGATTCATCAGCGGTGCGCATCCACGACTCCCACATCTCGCAGGATTCGAACCCGGGACCTTGTGTATTGTGCGCGAACACCTAACCATCGGACCGCTCGGCCGGCATCCAACGGTGTTAATGTCTCACTGTGATTGATCTATGGATTTTTGCCCGACCTCACCCATTTGTCTTTGGTAGCTATTGCCTACTTCTAATGTTGGTCTAACAATGATTGATTGATGATTTCAAATGTGTAAAAACACAAAACCTTCAAAACTCTACCCGAAAACAGTTTTCCGATTGTGAAATGTTTTCTGCATCAATATGTCTCATTTTAGATAATAGAACACTTTGTAATGCAGAGTTTAGCAAATGCTGTCTTTCTAGAGAAACAAACTGATTGTTGTTTACGATTATTCAAAGTAAGAAATAATGATATTCCTTTCATGTATTCAATAATGTCAATGCAATTCAATCAAAAAATCAATCGTAAATCATCAATTATTTGAAAATTAATCATTGCATTGTTTTCATGTTAGATTTAAACAATATAAGAAATGGTTTTGTTCAATGTTTACACTCATATATAGTGATTTCATTATGTCGTTGAAAACTAAAACAATTGTTGGTATTAACTAAGATTATATAGCTAACTATAGGCTTTCAACTAAATTTACGATAGAGGCAATTCTAATCATCTTCATGTGTTTCTAAAATCATATCAACCAAATATCATCGTAACTAATTCAAATCAGCTATGAATATAAATAACATTAACCGACTGGAATCATGAATCGACCATTATTAGACCACCATTAGAAACCTGGAAGCATTAGACAGCCGTTTCGTCATGGTATGGGACTCTTCAGCAGTGCGAAACCACGACCCACATCACTCGCAGGAATTACAACTATAACCTTCGGTCTTGCACTCGAACACCTATAACCACTAGACCACTGGGCCGGCATCCAATAGTGCGAATGTTAAACTGTGATCAATCTAATGGTTTCGATCAACTTTACTCATTGTCTACTGTAGTTACTGCCAACGTCTGACGTGGCTGAACTCTATTGGTCATGGCTTCTTACTAGAATTAGATCGTAGGTCCTGGGTTTGATTCCGCGAGCGGGAGTCGTGGATATACACTGCTGAAGTGTCTCATACCAGGACGAGACACTCTTCCAATGCTTTCAGGTTTCTAATGACAGTCTAACAATCGTCAATTCATGATATCAATCAAAAACAACAATCTCTATAACTTTGTAATGAATAAACAATATTATCTAAACACAGATGATCAGAATCAGGCATGTCGTAACAGTCATCGAGAAGTCAGTCGACTTGGAGAATAAGTCATAGGAAATATCATCATAGCATATCCACTGTAAACGTAGAATAGTTTTAAAATACTTATTTCTATTTATGAAGTAGCTCCTTCTGATTCTTCCCCATACTGCTTAACACTCAACTCTTAGTATTCGATAATAACATCTCTAATAATTCCCAATTTATGTTTGTAAATAGTTTTACTTTCTACTGTTGTTATCTATCTATATAGGTAAAATAACTAACTGATTTTTGATTGAAATTTAGTTAAAGATTCCCATTGTGAAAATTAGAGCAACACATATATGCGATTAGATCGTCATCAGGCTCTATACTCTAATATACATGAATATGTGTACATGAAAATGTTAAACCAATCAAGGCAATTTGAGTGATAATCACAATGAAATGAACAAAGGCAAAACTACAAGTGGATAGTAGGAAGATAGGTGTACGGATAGTAGTAGGAAAATTTATAAAATATGATAACTAAAGTAGGTCAAAGGTGGATCAATAGAATTCAAATAATCATCAAAAAACATCAAAAACATTACGTAATAAGAAAATGAGTAAAAATAAAATAAAAAACAAAAAATATAATGTCCATGGCTTCTGCAATGCAATAGGAATACGTACATTCAATCCTAATTTAGGTGTTCAGAAGAAATTCGTGACACCCCTATCTCTTCCGTGGCCGGATATGACGTAACTAACAATGGATATTATATTTTTTATTTTTACTCATTTTCTTATTACGTAATGGTTTTGATGTTTTTTTGATGATTATTTGAATTCTTACACATTTGAGATCATTAATCAATCATCATTGTTAGACCACCATTAGAAACCTGGAAGCACTGAACGGCCGTTTCGTCCTAGTATGGGACTCCTCAGCAGTGCGCATCCAAGACTCCTGCTCCTCGCAGGATTCGAACCCGGGACCTTTGGCTCACTAGTGACTAGCTTCGTGAGGAAATTCTCGGAGTTCTAGTTGAGAAGACGTGACCAGTGGAGTTCAACCCTGTCGGGTGTAGGCAGTAACTACCAAAGACAAATGGGTGAGGTCTCGCAAAATCCCTAGATCAATCAGAGTTAGACATTAACACCATTGGATGCCGGCCCAGTGGTCCGATGGTAAGGCGTTCGCCTACAATGCCAAAGGTCCCGGGTTCGAATCCTGCAAGGAGCAGGAGACGTGGATGCGCACTGCTGATGAGTCCCATACCAGGACGAAACATCCGTCTTTCAATGCCTACAGGTTCATAATGGTGGTCTAACAATGATTGATTGATGATTTCAAATATGTAAAGACACAAACCTCCAAAACTGTGCCCCAATATTTGAATTCTATTGATCCACCTTTGACCTACTTTAGTTATCATATTTTATAAATTTTCCTACTACTGTCCGTACACCTATCTTCCTACTATCCACTTGTACTTTTACCTTTGTTCATTTCATTGTGATTATCACTCAAATTGCCTTGATTGGTTTAACATTTTCATGTAAATATTCATTTATATTAGATTATAGAGCCTGATGACGATCTAATCGAAAACAGTTATATTGTTCACGTATATGTGTTGAAATTTAGTTAACAATTTTTTACTTAATTACTGGTTTTTCTAGACTGACACTACCTTCCGGTTACATTTACACGTGTTACTCTAACTTTTACTCCACTTTTTTATGTTTTAATTTGTTCTATCAAGATTCACATAATTTGAATTCATTTTTTTTCAATTTTTTAAAAAAAAGTGACAAACTATGAAACCATAAATCAATTTATTAAAATTTTCAAAATTAATACTTACAATAATCACACGACTATAAATACTGACAAAATTTGTAATTTAATTTTTTACAAAATTTATTATGGGAAAACTCATCATCGGAAGTAAATTCAACAAACTCATCGTAAATAAAGCAAGCTGAGATAATAAAATTTTATAAACTTTGAAAAAAAATTAAATATACCGCTATTTTTCATATGCGTAAAAAAAAACAAAAAAATCTTATGAAATTATCCACAGACTAGCATAGATTTCAATGTATTCCAATTATATAAAGAACAAACATGCATTACCGATAATAGGTGTGTGTGTGTGTGTGTGTGTTATTGTTACCCGATGCCGTTGTAATTCAAAACAACGTCGTATCCTGTCTGACATAGAATGAATAGTCAAATTAGCAGCAGTTGAGTTTAACAAATTAAACCAAAAAACACATCAGTAAGTACACATCAGATTAGAATATATATATATATATATATATATATATATATATATATATATATATATATATATATATATATATAGGAGTAGACATTGTTCGAATATTATGTCATCATGTCTATGCGAATGTCTACTATTTAAAATGATTACAGTTTCTTTATTTTTTCTTTCGAGTTTCTTTCATGTTGACACATTGAACATGGTCGTTTTTTGTTTTTGTGAATTATCGATACACCTTATAATCATCATCATCATCATCGGTAGTAGTGTGATTTGGATACAAATGTTTGATTACATAAAATTTTATTTATTCTCGTTTTGTATGTAAAAGTAAACTTAATCAGAAAATGATGATGTCACATTTGAACCGAAAAAAAAAACACCATACAAACTAGTGTGAATATATACAGAGAAATAATTTTTCTCTCTCTCTTGAAAAATGTTCATAAAAGGTATTGTCAAGTTTTATACGTTTGTAACAAATTTAAATTCTTCTTCAAAAAAATTAGTCAGTGAGATATTAGACAAAATCAACTGATCATATGATGTTAAATTGTCTTGTGAATTGAGTTTGTTAAATAAGATGAGCAATTATCATTTGTGAAAAATGAAATTGTATTTTTGTAAATTATAATTTCGATAAAAATTACTGTCTCACACATCTATCTGCTTCATCTTAAATGGTCATGCATTTCTAGTTTATTAATGAACTGACAGACCAGGGGAAGTAAATTCATCTGGTGTCATTTTGTAAAAAGAGGAGATTACTGATAATATTTATGAAAAGTAAAAAAAAAACTACGAATATCTTCTACTCTCACTGGCCATGTTTCACAGCCATAAAGTAGGATGGAGCGAACTACTGCGCAGTAAACTCAATTTTTGGTTAGCAAATGGATATCTAGCCTGCACCATAAGTGACGCAAGTTGGCAAATGCAGATCGAGTCCTCTGTATCCGTATTGAGATTTCGTCACACACTAGGCCATCAGCACTGATGAGACTCCCGAGATAAGTGAAGCGGTCGATACGCCCGACTAAATCACTCCCTATCACTAGTTCAGGTGCCAGCTATTAACTCAGTTGATATTTTTAAAATGTGTTTTAACAAAAAGACAATTTTTTATTTTTGAAGAGCATTATTCACTCTAAAAATAATTAACTGAACTTACTCGCTTATTAGTTGGTAAACCCATTGATTGATTAAGTCCTATCGGTCCTGGACTATTATTATTATTATTATTAACTGTTTGATTTGTCGATAATATCGGCATTGCTTGACATGCATGACTACTTCCACCAGATAAACCACAACTACTATTACTATAACACACCACAGCTGTACCATTCGATGAAATAAACCCGGTACTTGTTCTTCCTGCCAAACAACTCGTACACGAATCAAGACATGCATCACAATTGCCACAACATCCATAATTTTGCATCAATCCTAATCCATTCATCATACGTTCATGAATTGGACCGTCGGCATTAAAACCACTTGAAGTTGTTTTCTGATTATGATTAATATTATGATTATTGTGATTATGACTTAAGCCTAATGATGAGAAACGATCCAGTTGTTGAGATTTTCTTTGTAAAAATCGACACACCAAACGATGATGTATTAAAACAAACAAGTAGATGAAAAAAATGGTACTTGAACACATGAAACACCATACACTAAGACATCCAAATAATTTGGCATTGTTTAAATGTTGTTCATTGATCCATAACCAAAATGTTATTGAAAGCAAGAATAAAATACATTGTGTACAAATAAGATTCTGTGTACCTAATTGATTAGTCCATAGTAGTAGGATAGAAATGAGTACAAGTAACACTGGAGGTAAACTACCTTGAAATATTCGACTAGTTTGTGAAAAGCATATATTAATTCCAAGACTTTGATCTGGACCTGTGAATTCATTGCCAAGGAACACAAAAAAATGATAATAACAATTTTACTTATGTTGAAATTTGATGATAGATTAAACTATTAGAAAAGAATTTGTACATTTTATCCACAATTTATGTGTTCAGAAGAAATTCGTAACACACTTATCTCTTCCGTGGCCGGATATGACGTAACTAACGTTTTAAAATATTTTTTGATTTCAATTTTATTTTGTTATAATAAGTATTATTTTCACATCCTGTATTGGTTGGTAATTTTCTGCCTCTTCCCCTTCATATTCTTCACTATCTAATTTATGTATACACTGCTTATTACGTAATGGTTTTAATGTTTTGTGATGATTATTTTTGAGTCTATTTATTCACGTTTGACCTCCTGCTGACAAATACTTTTATTATCGTATTTTATATTTTTCTTACTACTATCAGTACATCTGTCTTCCTACTACCAACATGTACTGCTGCCTAGTATGTGTAGTGACGTAATCTATTTGATTGTGATTATCGACTCTTAAATTGCCTTGATCGGTTTAACATTTTCATATAAATAGCCATGTATAATAGAATTGAGCTTGATGACGATCTAATCGAAAACAGTTATATTGTTCGATTATATCTGTGTTGTTCTAATATTCACAAGTGGAATGTTTATTTGATTATATTTACGAAGTTAATAGAATGTACAAGAAGAAATCTTAAATGTATAAAATCTTTATTTTTTTTGCATTTTCGAATAGAATCTCTCATCATTATTATCACCACAACATTGTTGACATGGTGCATTGTTGTGTCTGCCTAATAACTATGTGAAATTTAAACGCTATAAATTCAAAAAAAAAGATCCTTGAAGAATAAATGAATTTCTCTATTCTTGACATTGACATTAAAACAATGAGAATTAAGCTCCTATTTTATTGATAATGAGATGTTGTTTAGGGAGAGATTAATTGTTTAAACATCTACTTAGTTTGAAATTTCAATAAATTAAACTCTTTAGTGTTGTTCCAATAATTTGATGTTGAGATGATAGGAACTCGGTCATTCATTGACTGAAATTTTGTGGCTTGAAGTTGAATAGAGAAAACTATAGTAATCAAAACAGTCGAGAAATTGTGCATCCAAAAGATCAATATTTTTAAATTATTGGCTAAAGTTACTTGGTTTTTATCATTGATAGATATGTATTGAAATTAATCTTATTGAATTTTGGTTTCACTGTTTAATCAATCAATCAATCAAATAGTCTTTCATTGGTATTATGTCGTTCGATTTTCTCATTCGGTTTGCTCCAAATTACAATTCTCATAGAAATTCACATATATATATATACATACGAAAATGATTAACGATAAATATTTATCAAGTTAATGAAGTTGTACAAATATGTTACAGATTTTTAAAAAAAACTGTGAAGAAAAATTCCAGAATATTGGTCTGATGATTAGAAATCAAAAAGATCAGATTAATGTTGACTATATGAGGTTATATTCAGTCAATTTGAATAGAAATTTTGAATTCAAGTGAAATGAAAATTCTGTAATCTAAGTATGTGAAAGTGTTAGAATAAATGATGATGTAATAGAATTGAAGTAATGTTATCAGGTAAGACAGATATGAGAAGAGCATGAGAAAAAATTGGACAGAACTGGGAAGGAAAGCCCAGAACACAGCAGGTTAGAGAACACTAGTCGGCGGCCTATGCTCCATTGGGAGTAACAGGCGAAAGTTAGTAAGTTTTGACAGAAATATACTGAACAATAATATAATTTAGTAAGGCTCAAATGCAACTATTTGATGTTGAGGTTGTACTATAGTGAATAAAAAATATTTGGTGATATTGTTTGAGAAGATTAGACAGTTAGTCATTGAAGATATTTATCATAGATAATCTGTTATTCTTTAATGTCAGGTATCCTACTTCACAGGAATAATAGATTAAAAATTGGATTTCTGTACAGTATACTCGCTCTTTAATTAACAGACTTGTATCTCTCCCTATGAAAATATTTCGTATTCTTTGTTCAATATTTATTGACTTTTCCCATTTATAGAAGATTATGAAGCTATGGCAGAATTTTACTAAAATAGTGAAAAAAATAATACTTGTGCATGAAATACTGTTCACTTTTACACATGGAAATCATCAATTAATCACTGTTAGATCACCATTAGAAACCTGAGAGCACTGAACGGTCGTTTTGTCTTGGTATAGGTCTCATCAGCAGTGAACATCCACATCTCCTGCTGCTCGCAGGATTCGAACCAAGGACCTTCTCTCTTGCTCACTTACGTCTAACATCTGGACTATTTTTTTCGCTTGCCATTAAATTCACCTAGAGTATTACAGATTTACTGAGAAAAATTTAATGATTTGCCTTTCGAAGGTGTCAATAGATAGCTGCGTTTTAAAAACAAATACTTCCTTACTGTGTTACCCCTAATGGAGCATAGATCGCTGAATCTGTAATTGGTCTTCTTTTCCAATTGTATCAGAATGCTGTTCATTCTTTTCATGTCTGTATCTAATTTTCGACATAATGTGTTCTGTGGTCTTTCTCTTTTCCTTTGGTCTTCAATACCCTAAGTGACAACTTGCCTTATGATGCAGTTGGGTGCTTTCTTTAACATGTGTTCTATCCACTTTCAGCCCTTCTTCCTAATTTTTTCCTCATCTGGAATCTGGTTTGTTCTCTCCCTCAATAGGCATTTTATACCAGTCCAATAAGTCGTGAATACATTCAGTAAATACGAATGTTATACTCTAAACTTGATATGCTTGAAACTATTATGAGTTTGCATTTGTCAGTAACGAGAACGAGACGATCAACCAATGACACGGTAGGCTACTCTGATTCGTTGCCCCAACTATAACTGAAGAAAAAGTCTTTATATAGCGTAGAAAGTGTATTCTACAAACACCCACCAACTACAATGAACTCAAGCACATAGACCGCGTTTATCTATACATCATATCGACGACCTTGGGTGGCTCACAAAAATGGCGTACCAAAATAACATGTCAACCAATCACAACCAAAGATTTTCCTCGTGGGAAATGTGATTTCAAGGTCAACTGATCAGCCCATGAATAAAATCCAAAATTAAGACATTTATCAAGTGAATTCTGAGGATCTAACGTCCCCAACAATGAATTTTATATCAATCGTTTACAATTCTTTAGTTTATTGTCTTAATACGAAATCTTCATGTTTTGGTAATTAAAAAACCCTACATATCTAATAACAGTACGCTGAGTACAAAATTACCAAATTTAATTTTCCTCCGTGTAATTGTAGTTATGTTATGAATAATTTTATTAAATATTCTGTTACACTCACAAATGAATATTAACAACTAAGTTGGCGGTATCGTCAATCTAGTTGACAAAACCAATTGTTGCTGACTCTTTTGAAAGAAAAATCTTCAAATATATGATGGTTGAACATATAAATAGTTACAGTTTCGAGTTAATTCATTTAGGAATAATGCACTGAACTCTAACGCTAATATGATTCATACTCTCTCTTTTATTTAAAATATAAACTCGTATATTTTGCCTCATGAAACAATAAAATAAAACAGTTTTTAAGAAAGAAGTCATCTTTTTTTTTGAGAAATTTTCAATAACGTGACTAAAATTTGTAGTCTCATCAAGTTATTTACAACGCACTTTATATATAAAACTAATTTCCGGCTTTTACAAAAAACAATTTAGCTTTTTGGCTATATTGTTTAAAATTTCAATGAGTTTATTTATTCAAACAATATATGAAATGAATAATGATGAGAATCACACTGAATGCTCATGAAATATTATTTATTGTATATGAGAATTAAAAAGGCTTTTCCTTTTTATGAAGAAAAAAAGAACCAGTTATTCGGAAGCTTTAGTTTTTCCCGCCAAAAACTTAAGGTGGAACTAAGTTTTAACAAAATGAATACCTGAGATAAAAATCTACACACCGAAAAAATGGCGGCAAAAAAGTTTGATCAATTTGAAAAACGTTTTTTGTTTCTTTTGATAAAATAATCTTATATATATGAGTAGATTTCTTGAAAAGAAAAGTAATTTATGGACAGGCTGGTTTTTCAATTTTCAATTCAAATGCTTTTTGAAATAATATATAGCGTTATGCAGGACAATTTATACACAAATTAGGGATATTTAACTGAGTTCTTCCTTATATGTTTATGAATATTTTAAGTTAGATATAATATAAGAGCAGGAATGAATGAAATTGACGCTCAAAAATTGTTAAGTTCGTCACTAGGTATGCTTGGAGATATTACGAGTTTACCTTAGTCGATAAACACGAACGAGACTTTTACCAGTATCCAGGTAGGCTACCTTGAATCCCAAGCTGAAGATAGAAGGCTTTGTAAGCGTAGAAAGTATATTCTACAAACACCCAGCAATCACAATACAATCAAGCATACAAATCTCGTTTATTTATACATCACAGAAACGTCCTTGGATCAGTTACGAAAATAGCACACTAAAATACACAAACAGCAGCCAATCACAGCCATGGATTTTCCTTGTGAGAAATGAAATCTCAAGGTCAACTGATCAGCCAATGCTGGCAAACATGAAATGCAAAATAAGGCATTTATCAAGCGAGTTCTGGAGATCTAACATCCCCAACAAAAACAAATTTAAAAATTATTCATTTTGAGTTTATCTATTTATTCACTATGACAGAAGCATATAAATCAATTTTATTTGCTTCCAGGTTTCTAAAAGTGGTGATCTCACAATGATTGATTGATAATTTCAATGTGTAAAAAGCACTTATCTTCATAACTCTAATTGAAAAAGTTCGTGAAATGTGCTCAGTAGTGAGTGGCTCGTTCGCGCGCAAGACCGAGGCTCCTTGTTTCGAATTTTGCGAGCTGCAGCAGTAATGGATGCTCATGGCTGATGACTTCCATACCAGGACAGAATGGCCGCCCAGTGCTTCTAGGTTTCTAATGGTGGTCTTGCAATGATTGATAGTTGATTTCAATGTGCACAAAAAAGTTTTTATTTCTACTTCAAGTTACATGAACGTAACTCTTGTCCTTGTAGTGCCTCCACATATATTCGAGTTCGCTTACATTTAATTTGGTTAAGCCCTTTCGATTAATTTATTTAACCAAGTCATTTGTATTGCAACAATTTATATGTATCATTCGTTCTTATTATTGTCTGGTTTGTATGAGCTCACATGATGTGTTCCACTTGTCATTTGACCTTGTCAATCATTCTTCGCTTTTATTCATGTGTGCCTATTTCGCTTATCGCATGTCTGTCTTATATTTGCTGACTATATAGTCTTAGTCACGCCTTCTCCAACGCACGTCGCTTCATTCGTTTTATCCACTGCTTCTCCACATCGCTCCATACGATTCGCTTCAGCCGATCATCCGCTCGCCAGTGCACCACATCCTATTAGAGTAAAAGAAGGGAAGTTCATAGGTCAAACATTTCATTTCACCTGAGTAAAATGTTATTTTATTAGGGTTGATTGTAAAGTTTCAACTCTATCCATATTGTACTGATTGTTGAAGATACATCATTTGACCATTTGACAATTTGTACAATGTGATGAATGAATCATATACAAGGAAAAAATATAAGTGAGGAAGTTAGCAGTTTGATAGTAATGATAACGTTTTTATGCTGAATTTTTTAATAACAAAGTATTTAGAAAAAGTTCTTCTTCGTCTCAAATAAATATAAAATGATCAGAAAGATGATAGAAATAAAATGCCTTGAATGAAAAACAAACTTGAAACTTGGTAAATGTTTGTTTTTTGTTAACACGAACTGATTTAATAAAATAGCTTATGCCTCATCCTTCCATTGTAAATCCAACCATTTCATATATAAATATTGGAATAAAATTAAGGATAGTACAAAACTGAATAATAATAATAATTGAAATCATGAATCAGTCAATGTTAGATAGCCATCAGAAACCTGGAAGCACTGAAAGGCCGTTTCGTCCTAATGTGGAACTCACCAGCAATGCGTATCCGCAACTGCCGCTACTCACAGGATTTGAATCCAGGACCGTCAGTCTTGTGCACAGACGGTTGACCTCTAGACTATTGATCCGGCATCCAGAAGTGTTAATGTATAACTCTGATCATTCTAAAGATTTTGTGCATCCTAACTCATTGTATTCGGTAGGGTTACTGCTAACATCTGACAGTGATCCAGAAATCAAGCGTTCGAGCACGAGGTCAAAAGTCTTACATCCGACTCCTGAGAGTGGCTGGAGTTGTGGATGCGCACTGCTGAAAAGTCCTATACTAGGACAAAACGGCCATCCAGTTCTTCCAGGTTTCTAAAGGTCGTCTAACGATGATTAAATCATGATTAGATAATGAAAAAAATAAATGATAATTGAAATACCATTAGAACTGTTTTGTTTTACAACAATCATTAAAAAAAGATATCGAAATTTCAATAAATCCCAATTAAACCCCAATGTAAACATGTTTGAGCCTTTTTTTTATTATTCCAAAAGCAAACTGATCATCATAATCAACATTATCAGACATGAATAATGGTTACACAAATGGAATTCTCGTTAAAAGCTTGTCCAGTCATGTACAATTGTTGTTTTAGTGCATTGTGTGTAAAATGATGAGTCAGTTTATTGTAAAAAGTACCGTCATAATATGACATCTATAAGTGTGCATCTCTGTATAGTGTGTGATTATTACTATTTATTATTATTATTCTGTAAACAAATAAATATCTCTCAGTACCACACCTAATGGGAACATGATTCACATATTAGAACAAGTATATGTATATGTGTATGCATAGATTGATTACAGGAATCGAACATTGAATCCGCGATTGTTCAGATGATCAGTGATAAATCTAAAAATAATAACAACAATAAATTGTTGACTCAATAATTCAATGTGTCAATGGTACATTACTACTTGTCCCCAGTCAGTAGTTAGTAATATATAAAGCTTTTATATGTATATATTCGATATCTTCTATTTAGGTTATTTTGATTTGTTAGTCATACTTAATGGGCTTAAAAATTGCTGTAAATTGATTTTTACTACTTTGAAGTGAATTAGGCGTTTTTTTTTATGTCGAACAGTAGAAATGTTCTTATTGATTCATTTTGAAGCTACTTGTGATGATTTGCCGATGGTTTAGGAATAGGTCTCAATGAGGTTGTATAATTTCTCATCCTCACATGTATCGTTACTTCTATGAAATTGAGTTTCATCCTTTTATTCAAAAAATTGACTTAAGAGGAGCAGCAGAATGATTTAACCAATGTTAAAGCGACAGATAATTACATATAAT